CCCGCCCAGTCCTGCAGCCCTCCTCCTCCCTCGGGTCCCCTCCATAGTGCCTGGAGTGCCACCCTCTGGCGCTCACAGGCAAGTGAACTGGTAGAACTTAAGAGCCATTGAACTTCAGAGGCCAGCTGAGTTCTCCCCAGCAGCACGTCCCTCCCTGACCCCCACCTCCACCTCCCGTGTCTCCCCCTACGTCCACCCCCACCCCTAGGGTGGCAGCAGGCCACAGCTCCTAAAATGCCAAGCAGTGGTTGACTGCTGGAGGGGGGGGGGGTGAGATGGGCATTGGCAACTGAGCGTCTTCCCCTGGCTGCTGCTGGAAATCCACCACCTGCAGTTAGCGCCAAGGAACCCTCCAAGGCCTCCCCACCTTCCCATCTTCCCGTGTCTTCTACAACCACTGGGAGGCAGGATAAGACATCCCAGCAGAAGGGAGGGGGAGATGCAGTCCAATGATTTTTGGAGACGCTGCAGTGGGTGTATTTTATTTCATTTTCCAGGGTTTAGATGCCAGTGCGTTTTTATCACACACCCCCGCCCCTCCCCCCGCCAAAGCTACCAAAAATAATAGATTGCTTTTCTAACAGTAAACAATGGCTTCCCTTTCCATGAACCAGCTACACACTATTCTCTCTTTTTCCCGTTTTCAGTCAGCTGTAAGTTACAGTTCCCCCCAGGTTTTCATGGTTTACTTTTATGGTTTTAAACATATCACCTAACCAGCCACACCTTGGCCCTCCTGGGAGTGGTCATCCCTGGAGCGACACTGAGGCTGTCGGACCACAGTTCCTTGGCAGCAGTCCCAAACGCAATTCCAAGTGTTCAGAGAAGGGGAGTGGGCGGTCCAAAACTGGGGTGAGGGTGGCAGGGGGGACGAGCATGAATTTTCATAGTCCCACAATACAGTGCCTCCTCCTTTCAAATGTGCTCTATTACATCAGTAATTTCTAATGAAAACCTTCATTCTTTATGCACTGTGGTTAAGCACCATCAAATCAGTACTGAAAAGACTTTGATCATATTTGCAAGAGGCACCGTGATGAACTTTCGCTGACCAAGATTTCAAAGTTTGTAATTAATACTCTTGACAAATCCCTGAGTAATCTGTCAGCTCTCAAAGTCTTTAACCACAAAGTTCAAAACCATGAGATGGGTAGTCCCTATACCTCCTACATATTGTGATACCAGTATTCAAGGTCATTTTTCCTTTGGGTTTGCATTAGAAAACTCAACCAATTTTTTTTTTTTTCATATGCTGAACAACGGGGAAAATTCAATAATAAAATAGACTAAGTTTAAAATGAAGGGATTGATGGCTGGTGCCGAAGAGGGTTGCCTCACTCGCACTTGTTCAGAGTCCCCCCTCCAAAGACACTGAAGAGGAAGCTGTGTGATGGGAAAGACCAGAGGTTGACTGCTCAGATTCCTTAGGGAGCCGGATTTCCAGGGACCAGGAGGGTAAATACCTTCGATTTTGAATAAGTCTTACAACTTGTTCACAAGCCTTTTTCATCTTAGGAATTCTTAACTCGGTGACACCTAGTCTGGCAGAAGCCCACTTATTCCTTAAAAGGGCGGGGGTGGACTCCAAATCA